AATATTTTACAGCATTCACTCTAGTAGGCACTTACTGCATGTAACATACCTTTCTTTAATGATAAAAGATACACATTCAAACAAATGACCATAAACTATTTGTTCCACTGTGGATAAAATGTACTAAATCCTAAATACTTACTTAAATGTAAATGAAAACACCCAATAATTTTTGAAACATTAAAAAATAAATAAAAAAACTGAGTTATGTTTACTGTGTTTTCAAACTTCTAAAACAATTTTCAAGCATTTTTATTACAGAAATAACAGAGTTACATTTAAAATAACACAGATAAAAAGGGTCCATTTGATCCTTCAAAACTGTCCTTGCAGACCACTACTCACTGAAGTAAAATTCATACCTTATTTTTCAGAAAATACGATTCCCCTTGTAAACACCTGTAAAATACTGGCCCCCACTACTGCTAATGATAAACTCATTTTATAATTAAGTCATCCTATTAGAAAAATAATGGTCTTGGCTAAAAACTAACTGGTTTTTTCCCATATCTTAAACCTCCCCTCCTAATTATTGTCAAAATCCACCACAAAGAACTCATAGGTCTTTATATTATCAGTCTCCCAGATAATATTGAAAACTACAATAACATCCTCAACTATTTTTTTTAAGAGAAAATATGATAAGAGGTCTTATCTATCTCTATATAACATTTCCTTCCCTAGAATTATTCTAGTACTATAAATCTTTCCAATAAGTCAACATCCTTTCTTGTATGCCGACACCAAAACTATACACAGTATAACAAGTTAGGTGTAACAAGTGATAATTGACTCTCCAGAGTTGCAATCAATATGTCTATAAATACACCAGCTTGAGTGACTTGCCCACTATTATTTCAAGATGTTTCTCTAGTCATGCTGTTGAGTGGGTTCCCATCCATATTAAATGTGATCCAAATTATGATTTGCACATAATAATCAACAATTCTCAATTGCCCAACATACCAATAAATACAAGTCATTCTATAATACCTCAACATCCTCAATACTGCTAAAACATATTCAAGAGTTTAATGTCATCTGCAAACTTTACTAACTTATTGACAATGGACATAATTAACATTATTAATGCAAATAAGAAAAAACAAACATTCAAGAGCTGACTACTGATGTTCAGTTTGAACAGACTACATTAGTATTATTAATATAACATTTTGCTTTCTCCCACCCAATCACTCTACAGTCTATTTAACTAATATTCCCAAACCCCTATCAAAGTGATTTTCTTACTTTCATAACCTTTTATGAAAACCTAAGTACACAATGTCTACATCCTTTCCATCATCTAGGTAACAGATTAGTATTGCAATATCTCCATTTGATGAATCTATGTTAGTTTTCTTTTATGACTTAATTTCCAAGACAATTCTTATTACTTTCCAAGCCTCAGGCACCTATCCACAGGTATGTCTTATCTTTGACCTCCTTTAAAACCACAGGGAAAACCTTGTCTAGCCCTGGTGCTTTATTTTTAATTTCTCAATCCAAGTGATTAGTAATATATACAATTCAGCTTTGTCAGCTACAATATTTCCTGTAGAATGCACATGGTCAAATAATGCTAATAGTTTCTCTCATTAAAAACAGAAGATTTAAAAGCTTATCCATCTCATAATCTTCAACTAAAAAACCTTGCTGTCAACTTTATTTAAGGGTCCAATCTCTATTTTCACAGGTCTTAAAATTAGCAGTGACTAGCTAGCAAAATGGCAGTGTGTTTTAGTATTCAGCCAGTGACCATAATGCATTCTTTTGCCAGTTGATAACCTCGGCATGATTAGGAATGTTCAAATCAACCAAACACAATACTCAAAACTACGGAAGAAAAAAGCTGTAGGGAAGCACATTAAACACAAACAAACTTACAACATGATTATGTATTAGTGTTGTTGAATACATCCACAATGGCAAACTATTTATTACTACTACTACTATTATTGAATACATAATTTAATAGTAAAACAAAACATGAACGTAATAATATGAAGCATTTATTCAACATTTTGGAATTTTCAAAATTCCATCTTCAGTAATCTAGAGGTACAAAACAAACTGTAATTACAACAAACAAATAATTTGAATACAAAAAGTAGAACACGACAAAATTAAAACTATGTAGCACAAAAGCTTCTAGATTACTAAAGATGGAATTTTGAAGATTCCAAAACATTGAATAAATGCTTCATATCAAGCTATTTTATTTGTGCTACATACTTTTCATTTTCTGATTATACTTTTTATATTCAAATCGTTTACTTCTTGTGCATTACAAGTTACATAATATTTCTGTTGTAACTACAGTTGTTTCTTTTGTACTTCTAGATTACTAAAGATGGAATTTTGAAGATTCTAAAACAATGAATAACTGCTTCATGTTAAGTTACTCAAATGATTTGATTATGTAATTTAATATATTCAAGCAACACATGCAAAAGCTTCTTACTAAAAGAAAAACTGTTGCATATAAATTATTCTCTTACAAAGATACTGTTGTCAAAATGTCATGCTACCAAGACAAATAACAATGCAAGTGATACTGGATACTAGGAGTAGAAATACTATATGGCAGCAAATCTTTCCTGTTGTCAAAATGTCATGCTACCAAGACAAATAACAATGCAAGTGATACTGGATACTAGGAGTAGAAATATTATATGGCAGCAAATCTTTCCTGTTGTCAAAATGTCATGCTACCAAGACAAATAACAATGCAAGTGATACTGGATACTAGGAGTAGAAATACTATATGGCAGCAAATCTTTCCTGTTGTCAAAATGTCATGCTACCAAGACAAATAACATTGCAAGTGATACTGGATACTAGGAGTAGAAATACTATATGGCAGCAAATCTTTCCTGTTGTCAAAATGTCATGCTACCAAGACAAATAACAATGCAAGTGATACTGGATACTAGGAGTAGAAATACTATATGGCAGCAAATCTTTCCTGCCACATTTGAAACCAGGCAGCAAATTAGAATATGTGGCTGAAAAATGTAAAATATCAGAACATGTATGGCATATTAATATATAAATATGTAACACTGATGATTCTAATGTTATAAGACTTACTTTTGCTTAAAAGTATTCCTTAGTGCCTTAATTTCAATCAAAATATGGACATAAAAGAAATCCACTATAAGCACATATTTCAGACAAAAGTCAAATTTTATTACACTTGTCAAAAATAACTTCCTCAGACTGTCATCTTCCACCAGGACTTTTATGAAAAAAAATTCATAAACAGCAGCAACAAGGTCCAAAATTTGCAGCATTTAGTCAGCCCTGATCAGCTAGGATGCCCATGGGGCAAACAATATAGCAAAGAAAATAAATAAAGACAATTAGAATTTTAAGCAGTTTTATTATGCTGTCTGGGTACTGCAGCCATTTTTTGGCTAATAAACAAAGATTCTTATTGAGAGTCAGTTTAGAAACCTATTTGCTGTAATGTGATAGCCAAGGCTTGCGAGTTTACTCTACAGAAAAAAAGCAGTTCCTTTGGGCAAAGAGGGATTTTCAACAAGGCAAAGTGCTAGAAGAATTAAATTTAACCAGTCTACTGTGAGCTGTTGGGTGCAGAGATACAGAGAGGCTGGCTGTGGTGAGTGGTAGAAAGGAAGGCATATGAAGAAAGTTTCCACAGCAGCTGATGATTGTGTTCTGAAAAGAGCACAGAAAGAAACTTCAGGGGTCACTGTCCAGTGTATATGTATGTGTCACTTTCTATACAGTATGCTCTATGTTTCAGCAATCAAATGACCTAGTTCTGCAAGCATTTAGGATGAAAGAAATTTAGCAGCACCCTTGACAGTCTATATTAAGCATATGTGCTTGATATGCAAAAAATTAATATATATATATATATATATATATATATTAAACAAGGGGTCAAGAAACACAGTATTCTTGCATATCACAATTGTAATTAACAAAAGTACATGAAATTGTTGCTAATGTTTGTTTCTATTCCATTTTTTTTCAATCACCTACTTTTTGTCTGGTTATAATCTGTACTTGTACATTGCTTTACAGAAATAAACAGCACAAAGTACATCACAATTGTAATCTACAAAAGTACATGAAATTGTTGTAATGTTTGTTTCTATTCCATTTTTTTTCAATCACCTACTTTTTGTCTGGTTATAATCTGTATTTGTTCATTGCTTTACAGAAATAAACAGCACAAAGTACCTCACGATGAATTTGATTTTTAACCCACTGAAAGTATACCTCTCAGGTTTCTAAATATTGTAACTATCAAGTCTTGAATGGCATTTTATTTCTATCATCAACTCACAGAACTGAACAGCCTTTTGGTATTGCCTATAACAATGACTTATAATTTTGGCAATTTTTTTTTTTATAGGCAGAGTCTCCATAATGGTCTGGGTTAAGTAGTTATTAAGCGCAAAGCTACACAATGGGTTATCTGTGCTCTGCCAATCACAGGTGTCAAAACCCAATTTTTAGCACTGCAGACGTATCACTAAGCTACTGGAGGCATCACTTGTTGAAAATTACCTATTTGAATAACTCTTTCTACATTTCGTCAACATAAAACACTACAGAAATACTTGCTACGAATGGTATATAGTTCTTTTGAAAAAAAAAACAAAAGTTAACTTTGTGGGTAATTGCCTATAACTAGGGTAATTAAAATTGGCAATGTGGATAAGACATTTTTAACCATAGCACTAATAGTTTTTGTGTCATACTTTAATGTTTAGATTCAACATTTTGATAACCTTTTTGCAAGAGGACTAAAACCAGGTATTACTCCAAACTAGGTTTCACTTTAAAATAATGTCCAGACTTCTTTTTACTACTTGTCAGAAGGCTTTAGAATTTTAGCTTTATAACAGCACCAATGTTCCTTTCATACAAACTTCTCAAAATTTCTACACTCTGCAATGTTCAAGTTTAAACTTCTAAGTACTGAATCTCTTTTTCAAGTTATGAAAATTTAGTTCATTTACCAAGACAAGAGAAACTTTCTTAATTGTCTCTTCCCTCTCAAGTTTCCAGCATCCAAGTATCACCAGCAAATTTAGAAATACTGTCCAAGGTACCTTCCAAATCACTAACATAAATAATGAAACAAAGTCACCAAAACAAATCATAAAGTCCCAACTAGTCAAAAACTGTTTTTTCTTTAATTCAAAAAATAGCCACCCTTTTTTAAATTAAGCCAAACTTTTTATCCATTATATTTTTAAACAAACCTGATACACAATAATTCATCTTTTTTATGGCACTCTACCAGTCGTTCCAATATTAAAAATAAACAATACCAGCCAGTGTGAAATACAGAAACAAATGAAAAACCAAGTAACTTAGAAAAAAAAGAAAAACCCCTTTCTTAAAACCATGCTGACAATCCTTAGTTAAACTTCATCTTTCTAAATGACTTGTTACAGATTTTGATACTTTGTTACCAACAGATGTCAAACTAATAAGCCTATACTATAGCTCACCGCATCTTCCTTGGGCTCCTTCTTAAAACAAGATTAACACTTCAATCATCAGGAAGTATACCAAGACATTGAAAAATATTAGAACCTCCACAACTTTGTTACTAAGTTATTTCAACATTTAGGAGAAATCTTGTTAGACCCAAGAGCTTTAAAGTTTTCTAAAAAATTCTTAACTTAAAATTGGTGGAAAGCCCTCCTCCCTTTTTAAAAAGTCACCCTAAGAATTTTTTCTTTCAAGTAAAATACACCACTTTTACAATTTTTGAGAAAAAATGTATTTATGCATTTTATTGATATGATACAGTATCACTGTTTACAATACTATGCTAAAAATAAAATAAAAGTTGTCTTCTTGACCTTTTAGGTTTGGGATTGAGCAATCCAAATACAAATTAACAGGTTCTCAAATATTATACTTATATCTGTAAATTTATAAAAGGGCAATGTATGTGACATTATCTATGAAATAGTACGAGTTTTCTGAAGTTTTTAATGAAAAGCTAATTTAAAGTTAACACCTAATTCTCACAAAATTAATGTTAATAATTAAACTCAACACATGCACAACTTGAGTGGCATCCTACCTAAAATAATGAATTTGATACCAACCATGTATTTGAATTATTAAGCTGGAAAGAGCAAAAGCATCTGTAACACCACACCATCCAGGTTACTAATATTAAAAGTATCCAGCTACCACTTAAAAAAAAAAAAACTTCAAAAATTATAATTTTAAGTGCGAGTCAAACAATATTTGATATACAACTTACAAGTATAATGGCAACAAAATATTTTTATAACTTTATTATCATGAAATTACTGTTATGATTTTAAAGCCAACCATTTGGATTTTATAGTTATATCCTTCTCTGATAAACTAAAGATGTAGTAAAGTGAAAAATTGAGGCAAAAGTTACCATTTTAAAGTTTAAACTTTCACATTCAATTTTCCATTTTTTTCTTTACTGTTAGCACAAATACAATTTATGATGGTAAGGTCAATATTGTTGCTATTAGTATTAGTAATAACATCTCACACTATATTACTATTAGTATTACCATTAGTATAACTAACACTATAATAGTAATACAGTAATCGTATTAGTAATACTAATACAAGAAATAGTAATATTACTATTACTGATTATTACGTAAACTATTAGTATTAATTCAAATTTTAACAAGTTCTAAAACTAAAATCTACAAAATGTCAAAGTTAAAAATAAAAGTTAAACTTAAGATGTTAAATCTTAAGTTAAGGCCAAATCTTAGTTTGGCGCAGTGACACTATGGATAGAAAATTAGAAATAAACGAGTGGCATTCACTCGACTCCCGAATACGAAGTAGCCTACTAGTACTAGCTTAATTCTAACGTATTATATCATTAAATTATAGTCCACAAACTACGTAACAAATTACTATTACTGAATAATAAGAATTAGGCTTAACTAGCAAAAACCGACACAAAAATACCGAAAAACAACATTACTTACATAAAACATTAAATATTATTTTACTTACTTAAGTTTAGCCAATTGTGCGATGTCGCAATTAACTAATATTAATATAGAACACCTTGTATTTGTATAAACCGCTAACTTCAAAACGCAACTCAACACTTACAACCACGCCACATACACCAACAAAACTGACTGAGTCAAATAACTCTTATCACTTGAATTCTTATACGCGGCAAAATGGCTGTCTTTCAAAGGGTGTGGTATCAACGCATGCTCAGTACTTTAATGACTTCCTGTAGATTTTGATACCGTATCAACCATTACTTCATTGAATGACCAAAGTTCCGGTTCATGCATAAATTGCTTCGTTAAAGTTTTAAATATTTAAGGAGCAATAATATTATTTGAGCCTTTAGAAACGCTGTTTTACCTTGATAAATGATAGTAAAAACTATTAAATAAAAAGAAAACATTATTATAGGATAATATCGGTTATGTCTTTCAAAATTAATAGGTAATTATTTCTAAGAGATTGCAACATTTCGAGCTCCCCGGTATGTCTGCGGACTTACAACGCTAAAAACTGGGTTTCGATACTTGTGGTGGGTAGAGCACAGATAGCCCATTGTATAGCCTTGTGCATAAATTCAAACAAACAAAAACAAGCAAAATTTCGGGCTTTAATGAAACTCGACAAATTCTTTAGATTCGTAAGCTGTAAACACGAGTCGACAATAAAGATTTATTTGAATTGTTATTCATAGAGATGTCCTTGGAAAATTGACTTTAAGAAAACTGAGCCTTACAATCCAAAATATAAACTTTATGTTCAAACGAATTAATACACCCCTGTAGCTAATTCTGTTTCAATAATTTAATAACTAATCTGACATCTCTCTAAGAAAGCCTATGTTCTTTCTAGTTTTTGTTAGAAAAGAAAAGTTTTAGTTCCTTTGTTTTATGAAGGAGTTGAATATTGGGAATTTATCATTGTCCACATTCGACTGGATAACTTTCTAAAAAGTTGACATTACGTATGTTGTTTTAAACTACATAGTGCATCCTACATGATACTCCTTTAAAAATCAGTCCTATATTTAAAGCATGAGCTCAGTTCACTGAAGGTGTAGGCAGGATGATTGCATCAGGGTTTTTCTCAATAATTTTGTATAAAAAAACTACATATTTAACCAAAATCAATAATAATCCTGCTAAGGATTTTCTATTTTGAAATATCAAAGTTTTCTTTTGAGTTGGTGTTATATTATTTCATCGGTTTATTTATTTATTTTTAAACAAATATGTTATTACGTCACGGTAGATTACAATCTACTTATCGTACACCTGCGCCAGAGGTCGGAACGCCCTCAAACAAATTTCTACCAGATGGATAAAGTTTATTTGTTTTGTTGTTAAGCTCAAAGCAACACAACAACGGTCTATCCATGCTGTGCCCAGTGCCCACATAGGGTATCGAAAGCTGGTGTTTAATATTATAAGCCTTCAGACTTACCGCTGAGCCACTGGAAGACAATGACTTCATTTCGAGAACTTTCTTAACTGGCCTTATACGTTATATCAGCGAGAAAAGTGTGTAAAATACAATTTGAATCACATTTCCTTGTTGTAGGCGTTTCATGACACAAAACTTAACGTCTCCTAGATGACTGAGGTAAATAATGTTTCACACAAAGCATCAGATGTTATAAACCTATTGACCTGAAGAATTCTCTTGACAACGGTGACAATAAACAGCGTATTAGAAATGTTATTGGGCCAGGCGTGGCATAATATTTAGCGTACCAAACTGCGGAGCGGAAAGCCTAAGGTTCGATAAGAGATATGCAGCTGAGCACGCTCCGCACTCTCAGCTATGAAGCATTACAATATTGACAGTCAACATCACTATAAGGTGCAGTTCGACTAGGAAATTAAGATATTAAAAAATAAATGTTATCAAAATGTTACTCTACTATGAACCTATATTTGTGTATAACATTATGTAAGAAAATCAAACGTTTGGTACAGATTTAAGCTCTAAACTAGTTTCAAAATTATGGAACAATGCAGTATTTTGGGTTAACATGCTGCAAAGAGAAAAATTAACATTTAGTTGAAAAATGAATAATAAATACAAAAAAGGAACTATTAGTATTTAAATGAAAAATAAAATTTTAAATAAGGATTTATATTCAGGTAAATAAATGGATGGACAGGCAGATAAACAGACAATTACATATTAATATAATAATTTCTGATCAAAGCAAGCTAACTGTAGTGATCAGAACTAAAACTCAACCTAGTACTAAATATAGCTAACTCAATATACTGTTCTTACGTTCTTACTTATGATTATTACAATGTATTGTTTCATCAACTAGGTAACTTCATTTCTAGCAATATTTTTGATTGCAATGACAGGCAAATGAATACATAGATAATTGGATAAGTATATTTTTTGAAAAGACATAAAAACTATTAACTATAATATAATCTCAACTGTAATACACAAGGCTGTACAATGAGCCATCTGTCTGCCACAGGATTCGAACCCCGAATATAACCGTTATAAGTTTTCAAGCTTAATGTTGAATCTCGGAGGTGGGGCACCACCATTTTCATAGCATAACTCATGAAAAAAAGAGTAAAAATCTAAGATCGGTCTAGACTACAAGAAAATCCCTATATTGTCTTATTAAGGATATAAGAGCTAGTTTACATATTTTCTTTCTCGAAGCGCATAACAGTTCAAAATTCATTCTTGTTAAAATATCATTAAGAGCCTAAAATTATCTCCGGATAAAAAATAACGCGATTTACATGGCTGCATGTGGTTTTGAACATGTTATCTTTTTTTAAACAATATGGATTTTGTTTGTTTGTAGTTATACACAAAGCTACATAATGAGCTATCTGTGCTCTGCGCACCACGGGTATCGAAACCCGGTTTCTGGCGTTGTAAGTCCGCAGACATAGCGCTGTGCCACTGGTGTGCAAACAATAGGGAAAAAATAATGTTGCACACGACAAATAGTTGGTTAAAAGCACCAAAGATGTGCTTTAATATAGCATGTATGGGGCTTTAATTGAGTGAACGAAACTGTTATTTGACATGATTTTGAATGGTTCTATGGAGAATGTATAACTCAATTGCTGTAGAAAATGTTGTGCGTATAAGAACGTTAGTTTGTAGCAAGTTAAATCATAACCTCCACGAAGACCTTTATCTTCTGAAACTTCGAAGATGCAAGATGTGTGTGTAAATGACGAGGCGTGATGGAAGATATTTAACATTAACCGTATTTACATTGGGGAAGATCCAAAAGTGCTTGATAACATTAGTGTTTTGGATTGATGATGCTTCCAGCAATATTTACATCCTAAAGGCTACTCTGACCCTATGTGTCACGGAGACTGCCACATCTTTCTCAGGAAATCGGGCCAGATTTACCTGGTTGTTGAAGCAAAGACAGCATCTGAACGGGTAGAACCAACAAACATATATGTGGTAAAATACTCTGGGGAAATGGTAGCCTTGACAACGTGAAAAATCTATGCATGGTTTGCTCTAAAAGTTACCAAAATTTCACTTTGTACTGTTGGATAAGCAGGAGCTCCGAGTGGCAGAATTAACAAAAACCTTGTTTTGTTTGTTGTTAAACATAAAGGTATATAAAGAGCTATCTGTGCTCTGCCTAATATGGGTATCGAAATCCGATTTTTATCATTATAAGCCTTTAGACTTATCGCTGAGCCATTGGACAAAAAGCAGTAGCATTGCTTCTTGTATTAAGTATATATATGTGGGTGTGGGCTAAGGATTCTTCTACAGTAGGTGTTTGTGATTTGTTGGCGATAAATTCGAACAATAAACGGACAGCACGCACTCCACTGTTTTAAAATAATATGATCAAAAAAGTTAAACGTATGTACAAAAATTCTTTACATTATTTTTCTCTACTTTTATCACAATAGTATCAGTGAATAATTCACTGACGTTGCCTCGTGGGTTACCACAGTTCTATCCTTAACTTCCAATAATTGTCTTCTTTTCGTCAAAGTCCACACAGGCGTGTTCAATTAGTTTAGAACACCCTTTGATAAAACAAATTATTATTCTTGTCTCTATCAAACTGTTAATCTCACCTTAAAATATCAACCATTAAGGCTATTCACTTCCACGATGGCTAATTTCAAATTTCAAACTTTTCTTTTACTGAACTTCTCTTTCACTTGACTTTACTTTTACTCTACTCCCGCTCGTTTGGTCGCTGCTACTTATATGTTTATCACTGAGGCCTCTAGAATTTTCTATAGCCTCAACATCAATGAATTGCAAACACAACGTATGACCGAGTTATGTAACCAAACTTGTCATAACTATCGCCTTTAAAATAATTGCTTTTAACTCTCTTGTTATGAAAAAACTCAACAATCATTAAATATTAACTCACAAGACGAAATTAAATAAGAATGCTTATACTACACAGTCTTGTATATCCAACACTGCTCGAACAGGTTACCAGGTAAGCCCTGCGTGTATATGCCCATATGAACTGATTTAATATAACATGATTAGTTGGATCATTTTATGTCTGAAAGTCTATTTCTGTGATCCATCAAACCAGATGCTAGAGATCAAGAAAGAAAAAACAGTCGCTACTGTAGCTGCTCCTGCTCTTGGACAATCTAAAGGGTCAGTGATGGCTCCCTAGTCTCAACAAAAACTTTGCTCATTGTCTCCACTACCAGATGTCATGATGCAGCCAAAATGGTTTCCCATGGGAGAGCAAACTTTTCTTGGTGAACATTCGAATTAAAGTGAATAAAATGCACATGGCCAACGACATGAAAACGACAAGAAATAAAGAAAGACACAATCAGGCTACAGGTTCTCAGAAACGTTTGATTCCTTCCAAGATCAAAGAGAATATCTTTTCTGAAAGTACCAAAACTGCCGTTAAAAAATACATTCTCTTTGCAACTGACCAATAACAAAACAAGTTCCCAACTAAACCTACTACAAAAATATCCCTTTTGACTGCATTTTACACATTTATAGCTGGCTCCAGAATTAGAAGCTGGAAAACAGAACATTTTTTAAAAATGAAAAATACCCCAAATGCCACACCTCTATCAACTTCCTGAGAAATTTTGTTTGGGAGATAAATATATTTAGTTTGGCCTTGAATTAAAATATTCATAAGTGTGATTTTTCACTGAGAGTAAGAGATAAAA